AACAGGAACCTGCAAACTACTCCCTGCTGTTACCCCTCCTGACAGAGGCATGCCCAGGGAAACGATAGCAACCGATGAAGGGGCTACATATGGGGATACCCCTATCACCGGTGGAACAGAAAGAGGAGGATATGGCACGGGCCAGGCACCAGGCCCCGCTGGTGATGGTGTTGCCTGAGCACGGCCTGCCAACACGGCTAGGCTTTGTTGAATGTCTTGAAGGATGGTAGTTTGATGCTCCTGCATCTCAATTACGCCTAGCAGGGCCCTCCTAATTACCTTCACATCATCATCCATATGCGTCAGGTCCATCGTCTCTAACTCCTTTATGTCTGCCCCTCTCTGTTGCATCCTGGCTCTTCTTCTAATCATCATCTCTTTGTCCCTTTTATCTTTCCTAATGCCTGCTATAGCTGTGCCTCTTGCAGGGCTGCCTGCTGGATGGAGACATCCTCTGGGGACAACACCGCGGGTCGGCTTGCCATTAAGCCAGTGGACTGACTCACGGTCTGCACTACCGCGGACCCGTGGGTACCTGAACTACCGGCTTGGGAAGTTTGTTGCGCAGACGTGCTCATGGCTGTAGTAGCCATGGCTGCTATAGCACTGGCCTCGCTAGCAAATGTCCTGCTGGCCTCGGCTGCTCTAGCTCTCCTCTCCCTCTGCCGGCGGAACAGTTCCCTATCACCCTCCGGTCCTAAAGACACGTGGGATACCGGTCCTCTAGCCGATCGTAAGCTCCTGCGGTCGTCCTCTCCGGTGTCCTCCACGTCGCTCATAGGCTACAGCACTGTGCACTGTCCACACTAGATCATTCTAGATGCCTACCGCAGCATAGTACACAGACCAACTAATTAGTGGTGGCTATCAGAACAGAACTCATTTGGGGTCAACAGGTAAGTGAGGTTCCTATTGTCAATACTATTTTTAGTAAGATTAGTTCCCAAACAGAGAGAGCATCAGGAATAAATAATATTCTAAACTAATGCTTTCTGTCAGATGTCACATGATTGTCCATCTAACTAATCAATTATAAAAATAATGTTAACTGACCAGGTCTGTTCATAGCATGGAATTAAAACCCGAACTTATCACCTGGAACCTACCCCTCCCTTTGTTTTTCTCAAAGTCACGATGTCACGTTTCTTCGCATCAGAAGCCAAGCGTGTCTCAAAGGTGTGCAATCCGGTCCCACCCCTGTGCCCTGGGTTATCGTCGAGCAAGGCAACCACAACACTCTTATTTACCCTCGTACGCCGACGAGCCTTCCACTCGGATGATCTGGCTGATCAAGAGGCAATTTAACGTCCGCCCCCAAGTGACATCAGGAATTATTTTACGTCGCAGCAGGACGACGATCACAGCCAGATCAGAGTCGAGTCCCCAGCCAGAAATGTTTATAGACGGTCTGGTAAGCGTCTGTAGAGGTTGCCACACTCGAGTTAACCCCTACCATGCGCAAGCAGCAGAACCAAGACTTGCAACGAAGCATGCGTGTACTACATCCAATGGGTTGGCATGGTGACCGTGACCCAGTGCTTCGTCCAGGGCCCTTCAAGAAGCTCCGCCCGTCTTCCCCCCAGATGCTCCACGTGAACATTCACGACTCTCAAGGTTGAGCGCACACGACACCTCACGATGAGAGAACTCTCAAGACAGAACTCACAACCTCACGGTAAGAAGTGATGAAGAGGGTAGATAAGGTTAAGAGCAACGTACCTCGTTCATGCTGCCCCTAACCACAGAGATAATCTCACCAGATGACCTGAAGATGATTGCGATGACCAGTCACAGCATCGGCACAACCAGCATTTCGCCGTTCCACCTCAGCCTCAATCACCCAACAGATAGTTCTCATCACACTGCGAACACCCAATATTCACATCTTAGCCTTCGAGGCGATGCCCCTCACCACCTGGGTCGCCTTCACACTCGTCTCCACCCTCCTCACTACACACCACTTACGGCCACACTCTCCCAGCAGACCACATGATGAGCGCAATCGTACCATAACTCCGATACCAAATTGCAAGGAAGATGAGCATTAACGAACTTCCGCAATTAAACAGCATCATACATATGAGCGTAGATAGTCTTGACCTCGAACCACAGCAGACTTGCATCACGAGATACACCAAATAAAAACACACCAAAAGTTCAAAATTGACAATGCTGAAGTAGTCCCATCATCATCAACTACGAACCAGAGTTGATATCCTACTGGCGCTCGACGCCCAGACTACATGTGGCAGATCCTATCTAGCCTATACTACGAAGCAGAATGATGACATCAACAGCGTTTCCGAAGTACAAGCATATGGCGACCAATGTCGCACGCTTCAGCACCAAGTATGTTTCTCGTAACACTCACAACCCCGATCCACACCGCACAGATGCCACTCGCACCCCAAGGACCACCCTGCGCTTCACCTAGCATACAGCATCGCAGCTGGGCTATGGATGGGTGCTCCCTCCTACTCGCCCGTGAGAGCCTGAGTGCCTGCCAGCCAGCCAGCGGATTGCGCAGCAGCGCTCACGCAGCATGCAGCCAACACCCGAATGCCGAATGAGGAGGCAGGCCCTTCCCTATATCGAAGTGGCCTGCCTGCGTCCAGTCCAGGAAGCTTCCGGTAGGCCCCGGTAGGCTCAGGCCCAGTCACGAAGAGAGCAGGCCTTGGGCTTGAAGTGGTTGCATGCGCCCAACTGCTTTCGGTTTGAGTTTGGCCCGGTACCCGTATCAAGCCCAGGGCCTGTTTCACATTCATTAACACAGGCGGCCCAGGCCTGGATTCATTCAACCAACTGGCTCAACACAACTGTCTGAATTTCCCCGATGCAGGGTACCCTGAAGAATGAGACCCGAAGGGCCTGTTGTGCCTGCCCTCACTTAGGGCGGCCGACGTTGTTGCAGATAGGGCCCCGTAGGGGCTAAGCGGGCGTAGCCTCGCATAAGGAACTCAAAATTTTTTATTAATTTTAAAATATTTATTTTAATTTTTATTTATTTAATATATCACAAAAATAAATAAATTAATACTCTGTATTTTCAGCAGGTATACTCACACAAAATCCGAAGTCCCAACAACAATTCTGAAAACTCTAGTTATAACTCGATTCAATTAATCTTCTATCCCTAGATTAGCATAGGGTTTCTCCTAATTAGGGTTTTACGTTTT